TGTGTACTGTGTCATGCTATATATATCTGGTTTGTTTTTGTGTTGAGAGCATTACTGCAGGCTGTTTTCTTCCCATGAGGTTCTATTGAGGACTGAGTCCTCAAGAGAAGTTTGATCACTGAGACTCCGATACACTAGAAGAGATTATTCCAAAATATGTGAAAATTGTAACACAAAAACACAATATGAAAAAGCAAGGAAGCGTATCTCCACCCAAAGCCTATATCCTTTAATTATTTGAATCCAAAAATACTGTCATAGATGAACTGCCCAACAAATCCCAGCACTTGTGAGGCAGAGGCCCTCGGATCTCTATGAGATCAAGGATGGCATGGTATACACAGTGAGTCCAGCAGGCCAGCGGGGGCTACAGGGAGCCCGTCTTAAAAAGACCAAAAGAAAAAAATAAAGTTCCAATCCCAGTCAGTAACTTCAAAAAGGTACAAATAAAAAAATTACTGACTAGGAAATTAGACAGAGCTGGACGAGAAATAATCAGAGAGCGATTTTGAAGAAAAAAATAAAGATTCTTGAGGGGGAAAAAAGAGAAAAATTTGAAGAGCTCAGTAAAACAAATAACCACAGAAACCATCCCCAATGGATGAGATCAAACAGAAGAAACAATATGAGGGCTTGAATACAAGGCTGATGAATTATTATGTTTGGATAGCAATGAAAATAAGAAATCATGGCCACAACCTTCCAGGCTTCAGGGACATGACTAAGAGATAAAATGTATGAATCTTTAGTATTGAAGAGGGAGCCAAAATACAGATTGAAGGTATAAAAAAATTTTTTTGGGGGGGGGAACAGCAGGAAATTCCCCAAACCTAAGGAAAAATACAGACATCTAGAACTTCAAATAGACTGACCAAAAGTAATTTATTCATGTAGCATTCTAGCTGAAATGTCAACAATACAGAACAAAGAATAACGAAAGCAGCAAGAAAATATTGTTACTTACAAAGAAAACTGATCAAAATGAATTCTCGGCAAAACTCTCAAGGACAGGAGAGCATGGAATGATTTATTTCAAGCTCTGAAAGAAAATAGCTAATAACCAAGAATAATGCACACAGCAAAACTATTCTTTAAATCCACAGAGAAATAAAAGACCTTCCATGAAAATTATAAAATAGTCCATGATCATTAAGCCAGTGTTGCAAAAGATACATAAAAGAATCCAATACAGAAAAATAAGTGCACAATACCAAGACCTTAAGAAATAAACCTCAGTTGAAAAAAAAAATTAATTAGGAAGGAAGAAAACAGGAAAGCAGCCATACTCTGAAATAAATTGGGGCAAAAGAACAATACTCCAGCTACCAGAGGGGGAAAAAATCCATGTCAAAACTGATATTAGCATATAGCAAACCTAAATGTAAATGGTGTTAGCTCTCCAATTAAAACAGAGACTCATAGCTGGGTGTGGTGGCACACATCTTTAATCCCAGCACTCAGGAGGCAGGGGCAGGTCGATGTCAGTGAGATGGAGGCCAGCCTGGTCTATATAGCAAGTTCCACATCAGGTGAGGCTACACAGAGACCCTGTCTCAATGCACACCCCTGCCAAAAAAAAACAGACTTCAAACCACCACCAACAAATCACAGAGACTGGCTCCTTGAATTATACAAGATCCAATTTTTATAACACATAGTAAAGAAACATACAGCCTGAAAGGATGGAAAATGATACTCCCAACAAATGGAAGCTAAAAGCAAGCAACCTGGAGTAGTCATCCTCATACCTGAAAAGCAGATTTAAGGCCAAAATCAGTGAGAATTTGAAGATCACTAAATATCAAAAAAGGGAACATATGGGGCTGGAAAGATGGCTCAGCAGTTAAGAGCACTTGCTGCTCTTGCAGGGGACCTAGGTTCAATTCACAGAATTTACATGGGGCTCCAATGCCCTCTTCTGGCTTCTGTGGGCACTGGACACACACCAAACACATACATGTAAACAAAACACACATAAAATAAAATATAAATCTTTAAAAAAGAACAATTTATCAAGATGATGTAACAATTGTAGGCAGGCAGGCACACACACACACACACACACACACACACACACACACATGTTGGCATAACCAGTTACATAAAACAAAAAATGGCTGGAACAGACAGATAAGCCCAGATACAATAATAGTAGGTAACTTCAACACTCCACTCTGCACCACACATCAAATAGAGACGCAGACACACACACATACACACACACAAAATCTTCTATCCAATAGCTGCAGTCTACACAATTTAAGAGCCAATGAAACTTTAAACAAAATAGATTATACATCAGACCTTAAAGCAAGTCTTAAAAAATAAAATATTAACAGCTGGGGCTACAAAGACCCTGTCTCAAAAAGACCAAAAAAAAAAAAAAAAAAGAGAAAATATCTCATCTAGCTCAATAGTCTATAAAATTTTCTCTAAAACAGATTACACTTCAGACCCTAAAGCAAGACTTAATAAAGATACTTCTTGTACTTTATCAGATCATAATAGGATAAAACTGGAAGTGCAACAGCAGGAGAAAATGCAGAAAACACATTAACACACAGAACTTGAAAAGTATGTTTTTAGGGGCAGAAGAGCTGGCTCAGCGGCTAAGAGCACTTGCTAGTCTTCCAGAGAATCTGGGTTCCATTCCCAGCACCCACGTGGCAGCTAACAGCTGTTGGAAATGCTAGTTCCATGGGATCCAAAGCCCTCTTCTGGCTTTTGCAGGTAGTACACACATGTAGTACACATATACAGACAGGACAATCACATAAATAAAATGAAAATAAATTTAAAAAAACTAAAATGCTTTTGAATGTTCAGTGGTTCACTGGAGAATTAAGAGGATTAAAAACTTCCTAGAATCAAATGAACAGTAAAACACTACTTACTCAGATCTGTGGGCTACAGCAAAAGCAGTTCTAAGAAGGAAGTTTATAGTCATGAGTGCCTACATGAAAAAGAGATCTCAAGTAGACAACCTAACAATGCATCTCAAGGTCTCAGAAAATAATAAGCTAAACATAAATTCAGTAAAAAGAAACATTAAGGTTCTAAACTGAAATTAAAGAGAAAGATAAAAAGAGTCAAGGAAAGAAAGAGATGCTTCTCTGAAAAGACTATATGGAAAAACAGCCTAACTAAGCAAAGGAGAAAATTCAAAATTAACAAAATTAGGGGTCAAAGGGGTATCATCAAAAGGATACTACTGAAATACAAGCTATCATTACATAGACCACTGAAAAAATATTTCAAAAGTTGAAAATTATGGAATAAACTTCTGAAAATGACATTAAATTGAATTATGAAAATACAAACACTTAAAGATAAGGTAAAACTGGAAGGATTATTTCTAAACTCATCCATAATATATTTTCCTGATAAGAAACCTTGATAAGAGGGGAGGAAACTACAGGCCAATTTTTTCCATGCAAAACTCCTCAATAAAAATACTTGCAAACCTAATGCAACAACACATTAAAAAGATCATATGTCATCAACCAGAAATGAAAGGATGGTTCTGTATACAAAAATCAGTAAATACTATATAGCACACAGAAATGCAGACAAAAGTGACATCATGTCAAACCGAAGATGAAAAAGCCTTGAACATAATTAAATAATCCTTCATGATACCACTCTTTTTCAATATAATTCTTGAAATCCTACCAGGAGCAATAAGAAACAAAAAGGATACGTATAACAGAAGGAAGAAGTCAAATAAGTGATTTGTAGAGGATGTACTGTATTTAAAAGATCCATAAAAGACTCTACCAGAAGCTTCTTACATCTGGTTATTTCAGCAAAGTAGCAGGATACAAACCTGCTAAAAACTACTGCTACAAAAATTAGTAGTTTCTCTATATAACAGCAAACTTGATAAAACAGAAATCAGGAAAACCCACTCATGGTATCTTCTGGGGAAATAGCTCTGTTGTAAAAGACTTGCCATGAAAGCATGCAGATCTGAATTTAATCCCTAGAACTTGTGTTTTTTAAAAGTGAGGAATCGTGGTCCATGCTTCTGTTCCTGACAGGTTACAGGGAGGCAGGTTACAGGTTAAGTGCTCCTTGAGGTTGCTGGTCAATCTAGTCTTACTTAGAAAGTTCCTTATCAGTGAGACCATATGAAAAACAAGGTGGATAGCACTTCACACGCAAAAATACCTACATATAAATTTAACAAAACACATCAAAGACCTCTACAATAAAACCATACCAAAGTGATACACAGATTCAATGTAATTTTAATAAAAATTCCAATGACAGTCTTCATAAAATAGAAAAAATAATCCTAAAAATCATATGAAAACATAAAAGACCCCAAAGGAATAACACAATCTTGAATAAGAAAAAAACAATGCTGGAAGTACTCTAAAACCCACAGAGAGTCTTAAAGGCAAAAGAGCATACAGTACTGGCATAACTGATATATAGATGACTTTGTGAACTTATGATGCATTTGAAAGAGCAAAAAGTTTTTGGTATTATAGGTTACCAATATAAGGAACTATGATTCTGTTAAATGAGGTTTTTTAGGGGGAGAGGCATCTTAAGCAAGTTCCATGTTAGTGTTTACATCTACTATCTGTAGCACTACACTAGAACAACTCATATCACAAGACTCCATACATGCAAAGTATACCTGTTCTCAATACAAATGTTATTAGTTCTCAGTAAATATTACAAATCATTCCAAACCACTCTTTGCTTATTCTTCAAATTTTATAGTAGGCCACTGTTCATGAGACAAGATACATAGTCACTTACAAAATATTTATGAAGCAGGTAGTATACTAGAAAGTTATGAGTTAGAGATTTCATATTATTTGCAATAATTGGCATATGACTTAGAATTGGGGTAATTTCATCATTTAAATAAAGAAGATGTTACCAACAACTGTCTTACTGCTTTTTGTTTCCATATCACACAAAAAATGCACAAAATAAGAACAAAACACCATGATTGAAAGAATAAAGAAAAATTGCCAAAGAAGTTCAGAGGAAATTTTATTTTGTATTTGCTGTTTCATATTTGGAGCAGCTATTAGATCTATAGGAATCAAAAACAGAGTGCTTAAGAGAATATTTCTGGATGCATAGGTTTTAGACAGAAATCAAGGCACCATCCTATAAAGACATTGGTTCTTACTAATTGTTTTTAAAGCCTGGGAAAATTTTTGAGTATTAGCTCTAGAGGCAGGTATAGCCTCTGAACACGCTAGCCTATCATTTCTGTTGTTGAGGAGTCTGCTAGTTGTGCTGTATTTCAGCAAGGCCTCAGAACCTCATCTGGGGACAGTCAGAAGTAGGATGTAAGCTTGTGACCAGTATATTGCTAATTACTACTCTCTTGCCTAACCCTGCCTCACACTTTACTTCTAGGGCATAGATGATACTATTTAATGACTGTCCTGGTTAGTGTTTATTGTCAGCTTGACATGAAGAGTTACCTAGGAAGAGAGAGTCTCAATTCAGGGATTACCCAGATCAGACTGGCCTGTGGCTATGTCTGTGGGAAACTGTATTGTTGATTGATGTCCCTCATGGCCCACTCATGGACCAACAGTTCTGGGTGGGAAAGCTGTGTAAGCCAGGCAGAGTAGTACATGCCTTTCATCACAGTACTTGACAGCCAGGCAGATCTCTCTGAGATCAAGGCCACCCTGGTCTATATAGTGAATTCTAGGCCAGCTGGGGCTACAGGGAGACCCTGTCTCCAAAAAAGAAAGAAAGAAAAAAAAAGGTGCTTGAGCATGAGCCACAAGGAGATAGGGACCAAGCCAGCAAGCAGTTTTCCTCCATAGTTCCTGCCTCTGCCCCTCCTTGAGTTCCTGCCCTAACTTCCCTTAGTCATATACTGCTAGCTGGAAGTATAAGCTGAAATAAACCCTTTCCTCCCCAAGTTGCTTTTGGAAATGGTGTTTCATCACAGAAACAGGAAGCAAAGTCAAACAATTACTTTCCCATTTAATAAATAACAATCAAGTTAACCTAAACCCTTAAACTTTTCTGGTACAATTTTATTAGAACCCAAATAATTTAACATGGTAAAAGCAGCATAAATAGAAATAACTCTTCTATGAAATGCCCTCCTGGAAGTGGCATCAAAACACAAGGCTGTGGGGCAAGGTGGTCCATGTCTTTAATCCTAGCACTCAGAAGGTAGAGGGAGAGGCAGGTGGATCACTTTGAGTTTGAGGCCAGTGAGTTCCAGAATAGCCTGGGCAGCTTAATGAGACTCTGTCTCAAAAAAAAAAAAGCGAATTAAAAAAAAAAAAAAAAAAACGTAACTAAAGGAAGCATTCTCAAATGAATGCAAATTTAAGTCACTCCCTTTTTTGAACTGATTATAGCATGAGAAAGTTCAATTATTATCCACTTGCTTCAAAACTGCCATTTAATGTAGGCAGGTATGTTTGTGTACACCTTTAATCACAACACTTGGGATGTAGAACCAGGTGAATCTCTGTGAGGCCAAGGCAAGGCTGGTTTATACAATAAGTTCCAGGCTAGCTAGGGCTACAGAGAGACGGTCTCAAAATAAATAAATAAATAAATAAAAATATTTCTAAACATTTCCAGCCATGACTGCTTCATGGCTTTTGGAGAGAGCTATATTAAGTGAAGTAATTAATTTATCTATCATTTCTTCTCTTTAGATGGTCACACGGTTTCTTATTTGAATATTACGAACTGGAACAATTCCCCTGGATAAGCCAATATTCCTTCTATGGAGGAACTCTGAATCACTTGTTCCTCTTCTTATAAGGTGAAGGTTGGCATATTACTGTTAACCTAAACCAAATCTTCAAGGCCACCCCTAAATATTTAGCGAGCTCCTAGGTGTTGTGAGACAGCCTTTCACAATCCTGGACTTAATGTCCAAATAAAGATCCAGAAGGAGAGGCTCAGGTTGACTTTAGGATGGCATAGAGAAGGAAAGCACTGCTACATCAGTCAACCTAGACCCACATGTGATAAGAGTTCATACCTGATCGGCTAAGGAAGAACATAACACTTCAATATATCATTCATGGACAAATAGAAATTATGTTACAGGCTTGGATCAAGTGCTAAATCAGGCTCTTCTCTCTTTTCATATAATCAAGTACAAGCTCGATGTCAATGTTTGTTTGGCTTGATAGACTGAATCATCAGAAGCCAGTCATACAGTCTTATCAACAAGTCACTTAGACACAATCTGAAGAACTCCAAGATTCACCCCAAAAGGCCTTTGGCCTTTACCTTTACAATATTGAGCTCTCATGATACAGAAAACATTTCCCTGGGTTTTCTGTACATTATTTTAAAATACGGTCACGTCTTTAAATCACAGGGAGATAGGCACTGTTCTGGCATTCTAGGTGGTCTAATTCTCCACTGCTGTTAGCTACAACACAGTGGAAAACAGCAGTCTTCTACCTCAAAGAGGTTGTTGTGAGCAATCCAGAAAAATTCCAGACCCTAAAGTCAGATCACCAAAAAGATGGTTCAGTAAGTAAAGGTGCTTATAGCCAAGCTCAACAATCTGAGTTCAGTTTGTTACTCAGAAACCACATCATGGAGAAAACTGATTGCTGTAAATGATCCTTTCACTGCCCACCAGTGCCATGAGCCATCACATGGGTACACACCAAATATATTTTTAGAAATTAAAAAAACTGTGGATTCAGCATGCACCAGCTGTACATTTAGACTTTTCAGTAGTTGAGTCAGAAGCCAAGATCCTCAAAATGACTCAATATGCACTTGAACTTTTGTCCTTTCTTTTTGCTATCTGGACTCCATGGCAGCTCAGTTTCATGTCTGAAGACAAAAATGTACACTGAAATATGAAATACAGGTTTAGAGCTGTTTACTACAAGTACTTCCAGGGAAATTTTATCTAATTGTGATGTAAGAGAGATAGCAGACACATTCCAGCATGCATTATTGTGGGGACAGCCAAGCTCTATGCTACACAATTGAAAGGAGGAACCAGAAGTCATTCAGGGAATCTGGAAGTACCTGCCAGAGACTATTCTAGGGTGAAGCCTGGCATGTACTTTTATCTATACATTAGTCTGGTCATCCTGAACAATGTTTGGGAAATAAATTTCAGAATGCAATTATCAACACAGAAAACCAATTGACAAAATAGACAAGAAAGAAAAATACTACTCAATTAAACCAGAATGTGAAATCACTGGAGATCCAGTATGGTACTTCAAAGATAGAAGGAAATGCCTTTCATATAATAAAAAACACACTACATATGTTTTCCAAATATATCTAGAAGGCCATCTGTGTTTGCTAATTGGCTTTAACAGAACAGTAAACTCACATATATTGGAGAAATTTTGTGTCAGGGAAGCAGCTGCCTAATGAAGTACACTGGTGTTCAGCAAGGTGTGAGCTGCAATTAAAGGTACTGTCACATTCTCTACATTTGTAGGGCTTCTCTCCAGTATGAATTCTCTGGTGCCGATTAAAGCTTGATCTTTGAGTAAAAGCTTTGCCACAATCTTTACAACAAAAGGGTTTGTCTCCAGTATGAACTCTCTGATGCTGAGTAAGACTTGATCTTTGATTAAAAGCTTTGCCACAATCTTGACAATGGTAGGGTTTCTCTCCAGTATGAATTCTCTGGTGTTGAATAAGGAGTAAATTACGGCTGAAAGCTTTGCCACAATCTTCACATTTGTACGGCTTTTCTCCAGTATGAATTCTCTGGTGTCGAGTAAAACTTGATCTCTGAGTAAAAGCCTTGTCACAGTGTTGACAATGGTAGGGCTTATCTCCAGTATGAACTCTCTGATGTTGAGTAAGGCTCGATCTTTGCTTAAAAGCTTTGCCACAATCTTTACAATGGTAAGCCTTCTCGCCAGTATGAATTTTCTGGTGTTGAGTAAGGAAAAAAACACGGTTAAAGGCTTTGCCACATTCATTACATTTGTTGTTTTTTTCTCCAGTATGATTTTTCTGGTGAAGGCTGAGGCTTGATCTTTGATTAAAAGCTTTGCCACAATCTTTACAACAGTAGGGCTTCTCTCCAGTATGGATTCTCTGATGTTGAGTAAGGCTCGATTTTTTATTAAAAGCTTTGCTACAATCCTTACAATGGTAGGGTTTCTCTCCAGTATGAATTCTCTGGTGTTGAGTAAGGAGTGAATTACGGTTGAAGGCTTTGCCACATTCTTTGCATTTGTAGGGCTTTTCTCCAGTATGAACTCTCTGGTGTAGGCTAAGACTTGACCTTTGATGAAAAGCTTTGCCACAATCTTTACAATGGTAGGGCCTCTCTCCAGTATGGATTCGCTGGTGTTGAGTAACAGTTGATCTTTGATTAAAAGCTTTACCACAAAATTTACAGCAGTAGGGCTTCTTTCCAGCATGAATGCTCTGGTGTTGAGTAAGGAGTGATTTATGGTAGAAGGCTTTGCCGCATTCTTTACATTTGTGGTGTTTGACTCCAGTATGAATTCTATGATGTTGTCTAAGGCTTGAGCAATAGGTAAAGGATTTGCTACATTCTTTACATTTGTAGGGTTTCTCTCCAGTATGACTTGTAGATTTAGTAAGATTTGAACTTTGATTAAAAGTTGTGTTGCAATCTACACTCTTGGAAATTTGATCCTGAATATGGATATACTGATGAAAAATAAGTTCTGAGTACTGATGAAAGACTTTCCCACATTTGTAACATCTGTGAAGACTCTTTGGAAAATGAGCACTCTGATGATTAGCAGGATTTGACTCATAGTTAAAGTCACTATTATTTTCATTATATTGATATGCTGTCTCTCCAATATAAGTGCCCTGATAATTAGTTAGGGTAGATTCCCCACTAAAGGCTTTTCTATTTTCTTTACATATATACTGGATTTCCAAAATATCTGTATTTGAGTTTTGATTAAGTGATACTGGATATGTAAAGAACTTCCCATATTTATTGAAATTGTGTATTTTGGCACAGGAAAGATCTATTTGTTGATTACAGAATAATGAACTTTTTATAAGGGAGTTCTCAAATGAATCACATTTAGAATTCTGTTCTTCATTTTTAAATTCTCTGTCTAAAACAATGTTTGAATGAAAGCTTAGCCCAAAGCTACATTTCAAACTGTTGAAGTTATTAACTGAAGAATGGACTAGGTCCCTTTTTATATTTTCCAAATTTCCTCTGAGAGAAAAGGTATGTTTCAAAAATTGACTTTGATGTTTACTAACAGAATCACATGGCTCTTCAAAAGTAAATGGCACAACTTGAAAGTTTTTCTGACACATTTTATGCACTTGATCTCTGCTGGGAATGAAGCTTTTGTTATTATCAATTGTCACAAATTGGTTATCTGCATTATAATAGGCTTTCTGATCTTCACTCTCATCTACACTTTCCTGTTCTTCTCTGAAGTATAAACTGTCAAGGCTACAATTTCCGTGATTTCCATTCATCACATCCTGAAATGCATCTTTTATGTTCTGCTCTGGTGAAAAGTTTTGGTTATAATGAGGGAACATAGCTGAAAGAAAGCAAAACAAAAAGTTATCTCACTCACTACTCTGCGGACTACAACGTGGAAATCTAAAATTTTAAATTATGCTGAATTTAGCACATAAGCAAAACAGCAGAATGGAAAACCCATGGCCCTTGTTACTCCATGGATAAGTGAACTTCACAACATACTGACCACATTGACTCTGGAAGAAAATGAGCACTTCTTTTTGTTTATGGGTACTGAATTTTACTTTTGTAATATGAAAAGTTTCTAGAGATATGTTCCATAAAAATCTGGATATACTTAATACTAGAGAACAGTATAGTAAAATGTTTAAGATAGTAAATTTCAATTTATGTGGTTCTGATCACATTTAAAATAAAAGCTAAGAAATAAAAGAGAAATGAAACTGAAAATTTTCAAAAGCTACCTTGAAATCATGAAACTGTTTCTCTTGGACATGTAAACAGATTTACATACATAGATGATGAAATTAAGATAATTTTCAAGACTGAGGTAGAATGAAATATCCACTGAGCACCAATCCAGTTAGAAAAGATTCCAGGAATAAACAAAATGGATAATATTTATTCAGCAAATAAGAACACATTCAATTTTACTGGCAATAGACATGTAACTCAAACATATTTAACTCTACCGTACACTGTCTACTGTATTTATAACTGATATTCAATTATAAAGTATTAAGTTAAAAACTAGAAACACTAACAACCTATTCTAAAAACTGAAAATATAGAAAAGAAAATTATAAAGGATAAGAGAACTATCATCCCATAAAATCCTGAATAAACATAGGATGACTGTTCATAAAAAGCTCTAATTAGACACATTTAACAAAAAAAAAAATTATGTTAAGAGAAAATTTCTTTATGATATTAACATATTATAATAGATTGACACAGAGGTAATCAGAAATGTGCAAGTCTGCAGTCCCTAAAAATGAAAGAGCTGTCACATTGTGCAGACTCTCACAGGTGAATGGGAAGACTTTAGCTATACTTGTGAATGTGCAAGGAGATCACTGCAGGGGAAATAGGCTGAGAAGTTTCAAATGCATGGTAAACACAGGGTAGAAAATGTCCTATGATATTGAGACGACAAAATAGAACCATACTTCTGAAAAACCACTGCCACTGGAACGGAGCTTGGCTTCATCTCTCACCTGTGAGCTCTGATGAATTCATTCCTACCTACCTGGGAACAAGAACATTGTCTTTTGCCTCTTCACATTCCAGGGCTCTTTCCCTTGTTCCAGACAGGTAACCAGGTATGGCTTAGAGACAGCAAGATCTGGTTATTAGAAAAGAGAACATAACACTTGTTTAGATTTGCCCTGTAACTAACATACCTGTCTTAGTACTATGTTAAGTACAAAAGAAAATATACAATAGATATATAATAATGCTTTCCAATGTTCTGTCCCAACAGACCATATAACGATGTGTTAATTTTAAAGATCCTTTGTTCCACTTTTGTCTACTACCAAATCAAAGCTAAAGGAGAAAAATATAAGCCATATTTTATATGCCACTTAGTTGCTATAATTACAACTAACCTAAATTTAGGATCTACATTATCTAAAGAGAGGATAAAGATTTTAAAATGAGACTCTTATTATTTATACAAAAAAAATGTTTTCCCCCACCATTTTCTCCCCTGAAACCAGGAAATCTGAAAGCAGGGGCTCCATAGACATATTCTGCAAAAGGAAAATACATGTTCATATTGAATTAGAAATTCTGTAGAAAAGTTATCCTCACCCAGAAAGACCAGGTTTCTATAGTTTTCTAGCATCACATCCTTGTACAAATTCTGCTGTTCAGGGTTCAGACAGTCCCACTCTTCTCCAGAGAAATCAATGGCCACATCCTTGAAGGTCAATGGTTCCTATAATAAAAATCATAACACAATGGCCATGTGGTTGGTCACTGACAGCTCTTAATCTGACCCAAGATGAAATGAGTTAGGAGAATTCTTTCTGAAATACATGAGTGATTGTAATTATTCAGTAAGTTTTTTGCTCGATTTGATTTGTTTTTTTGAGATAGCCCCAGCTGACCTAAACTCACTATGTAGACCAGGCTGGCCTGGATCTCACAGAGACCTGTCTGCTTCTGCCTCCCAAGTGCTAGGATTAAAGATATGCACTACCACGCCCAGCCTAGTAAGGCTTTTTAATTGTTTTGTCTAATGCATTACCTAAAATGGCATTAAATTAACAAAAGCACTGTAGAAGCTGCACCTTTATCAAACATTAAATGTAAAGTTTTACATCAATACAAGTGTTTACATTTTTAAGGTTTGTGTTTACATAATTTGTTTAATATTTTTCAAGTGAGAAAGTGATAATGAGTTACAAAGGTACAGAAAGGTAGTTACTATGTATAACCATAAATTGTTGGAGATACTAAAATGTAAGTTCGGATTAGAATAATCAAATCTTAAGACTTTCTGTTTCAAACACTTCTGCTTTTTTCTTTTCTTTCTTTTTTGATCAGTGCTAGGGACTCAAACCCAAAGCCTTACACAAGCTGGGCAACTGATGTATAACTGAGCTACATTCCCAGCCCTAAAATACAGTAATTCTATTTCAGTAGCTCTAGACTGGGTACTGGGTTTCTGACAATGTAGCAAGCTCCCTAGTGATGCCAACGTCCAAGAGAAATTCTTGAATAGCAACCCAGTAGATAACAAGAGAATTCATTAATGAATTTGAATTGCAAGAGTTACAAAGAATTTAAATATTTTATTTAATAGCAGTATGGCATTTTTTCTGATCATTTAAAAAACACTAAGTATTAGCCGGGTGTGGCAGCATACGCCTTTGATCCCAGCACTCGGGAGGCAGAGGCAGGCAGATCTTTGTGAGTTCAAGGTCATCCTGGTCTACACAGTGAGTTCCAGGGAGACATTGCCCCCAAAAGAAACCAAAAATAAAAACCTTGCAAAAAAAATCTCAAATAATCTGAGACCAGGAATATTTTTCTTCTTTTCCATTTTGTCAAACATCCATGTATGTTAGAGCCAGAGCTTTAGTCAAACCTACCTGATCTAGAATTCATACACTAGGAACACAAAGACCAAAACAAACTACAAATGTTACAATGAAATTCAGAGCAGTTGAAAAGAATAGATATATGAGGGCAGCAGAAAAAACAATCAAGTAAATTTTATGTTTAATGTACCCGTATTTTATTAAGCTACTTTGATTGTATTGTGACAAAATATCTAACAAGGCCAATTAACGGGAGGATTTTTTTATCATATTAATTATGCATAATGGGTTTCATTATGGTGTTTTACAAATGTATATAATGTATTTTGATTATAAATATCTCTATACACTCTCGTCACCTGCCACTCCTGCCCTTTCTCTTCCAACTTCGTCTCCCATCTAATTTTTTAAATGACCCAATGAGTTTCATTAGGGCTGCTTAGTAACTGGGCTATGCCCATAGACTATCAGCTTCCAGATTTCTCAGAAGGACACTTTAATGGGTGCTAGAGTCATTGCCGGATGATAAATCCTAGAACTTCAAGATGCAATATTAATGTTGCATTTAAGTCTATGCATATCAGGGTTGAGGCCCAGTTCAGTAGAAGTCTCAGAGGAGCCAGGTTAGTTTGATCATGGACTCTTTCTCACTCTCAGAATAAATAACACGCATACAATTTGTGTACATAAAAACAGTCAGGTCACTTCCATGTTCTGATTTATCACCTTTAACTTGGTTGGTAACACCTCCTCTCTGACCGTTCTCAGATGACCATCAGCTCTTTTTCCAAACATCAGTCTGAGGGTCACTAAATGAAGAGGATGAAGAACTGAGTACGAGGATGAAGGAGATTAAGAGTTTAAGAACCCAGAAAAGGGAATCTGAAGGTTTCTAAATTCTAGCCTACAATTCCTAGAGCCCAATGCCCCATGCAAACCATATACAAGTGGTCAAGGGGAGAGGAAGGGTATTCTTTTAGAAAAGAGGCACTAAGGTAAATATGGTGAAACTAAAGGAAGAAAGATCTCTCCGGTGAAGAGAGGAGGACGTTTCTGCTATAGATGGAGCTAGCACTTTTGTTGGATATCTGAAGGGGCCCTAATTGCCTCTGAACTATCAGTCATATGAGTCTACTTTACCATTTACTTTATTACCAACTTCTATCCATGGTAACTACTCCCACCAATTCTACTTCAGTAATATAGTCTACTTCAACAAAAACCTTGCATAAAATATCTCAATCTATGAGACCAGGAATATTTTTCTTCTTTTACATTTTGTCAACTTCTCTTTCTACCATGTGGGTCCCTAGGATTGAACTCTGATCACAGGGTTGGTGGCAAGCTGCATTTTTCTAGTCTTTATTCCAGGCCTGGGACCATGGAGAAGTAAAGTAAACACCTGAAGTATAAGATATATGAGAGAATATCAAACCCAGATAGGAAAAAATAAGAGCCATTAACATCAACATGTTCCCTTTCAACAGGCAGATGTGCATTATAATTAAACTGTAAATAAGGAACAACTTGGTGAAGGTATTTCAAAGTTAAGATGAATAGCAATATGTGGTTGTCAGATAGCTTTTAAATTTAGCTCATAATGGGGCTGGAGAAATGGCTGATCGGTTAAGAGCACTGACTGCTCTTGCAAAGGACCTGCGTAGTCAGTCACATGGCAGCTAACAACCATTCCAGGGGAATGGTAACTCCCCCTCTTCTGACCTCCTCAGGCACTGCACAACACAGGTGTACTTACACATATGCAGGCAATACACTCATACACATAAAATAAAAACAATAAATGAAATATTTTAAAAATCTAGCTCATGGAACTGACCTGGAAGTCACCTCCCCTGAAGGCTAGATCTCATAGCTTTAGAGAGCATTATGCAAGCTGGTAAGGGAGAATATCAATCAATGGTTCAACCCCAGCTACAAGACCTAAAAACCACATCAATGACCAGCGCAGTAAATGACATTCATGCAGTAGTGGCACTTTTATCTTGGGGGTAATCAGCAGCTACCTAATTGGATTTAAAGCCCACTCAATTAGAGGAAATTCCTGTGTGGTGATACTGTAAACGTAGCCAAATACACAGAGCTGGAGAGGTCATAGATCTTAGAAACTCAAAGGAACCTACAGTAATGGTGTTAGCACACACAAGACCCATGCTAACTCAAGTAAACAAAAACCTAGCACAGAACTGTGGAAATGGACAACAGGCCACAATCTTAGTTGAAGAATTATTGGTGAGGAAGAGCTGATCTTAAAGGGAGGGACTCTAGATAGGTTGACTAGACCTGAGTGGATGAACTTGTACTAAGAGACATCTTGGGACACTAACTTGACATGATAGGCCTTAACACAAATGACAGAATATATGAATTCAAGTGTGGGGGACATGGGAAGGGACCAATGGGGAAGGGAGAATAAAGGTGATTAAGATGTTCTGTATGAAATATACAAAAATCCAATAAAAGTTTTTTAAAAATCTAGCTCATAGTAAGAAATGAATTTTATGCTATAAGCCAGTGCACATCTATCTATATACCCTTGAAAAACTGATATAAAAACTAATCAAAATTATCTTTACAATGAATGATGTACACTTTTATACTATATTCCATAAGTAAATTCATCAGAATTGATTCTGCATGCAATTTAAAAATGTTAGATCCCAGCCGGGCATGGTGGTGCACGCCTGTAGTCCCAGCACTTGGGGGGCAGAGACAGGTGGATCTCTTGTGAGTTCAAGGCCAGCCTGGTCTACATAGTGAGTT